GGAAGACTTATAGGAACGCACCTTGTCCTGAGTCCATTGTATGCATAATTATTTCCAAAGTCGGACTGTGAAGGTGGTACATTCCCAAACGTTTCGCCGGCATCGTAAGTGAGTTTCACCATTCGTAGCACTATATTAAAACCCGTCAGAGACAAGTGAAGCCGATCCTTTGACCAAACGTGTGCTAAACAGTTATGATATCTCCCGTTCTGCCCTGACCTATCACATTTTCTATATCCTCCAATCACGCCCTCACTGTCACAATATTTTACTTGCTTAATTAAATGTGATCAGTGCCCTTTTTTTAGCGGCTTTCATGAGAACTCTCCACACTCCACGCTGGCCTTCTCAGCGCCCTTCATCCTTGTACTGGGAATGTTGTGCCATATTGTTACGCAGTCCTCCTTCCCTAGGTCTTACCCCAGTCTCTCTCTGGCCCCGAGAGATCCGTCTGCCCTCTTACTGATTCACATATTTCACACGACCCCTTCCACTCAATCTGTGCCAACTTGAGGCGATATCAGCCCTACCCCGCGTCTGTGTGACTAATTCGAGGATAAAACCTGTTTAGCACACATTTGGTAAAGGATCAGCTTCACTTATATCTTTGACGAGTTGTAATATGGTACTACGAATGGTAAAACTCACTGACGATGCCGACTACGATGCCGACGAAACGTCTGGGAATGTACCACGTTTACAGTCCGACTTTGGAAATAATTATGCATACAATGGACTCAGGACAAGGTGCGTTTCTATAAGTCTTCATTCCATTATGATCAAGTTGCGAAAACAAGGTCAAACTACTTCTATACAACGAAAGGAGACTGCGACCACACAAAAGGCCACACCATCTTGGTCTTCATATCTTCGATCAAAGTATAAAAGTTTGTCTGATTCACTGTGTAACAAAGGGGCAACTGAAGAAGTGGAAGCTAAGCACACTTCTTCAACGACACGATAGGTCTCCGGAAGAAAATGCTCCGCCCAAAATAGACAAGGCGCAATTCGCAGGTGAAAGTAGATCTCGACTCATTTCTGTAGACAACATCCCAAAGGCTCTGCAATCAACATCAGACCAAGAGACGGAGGTTTTAGGCAGATACCAAGTTAAATAAAGAGTCAGCAATGATGTTGAAGATGAAATTCACCATCTCGTTTGATGTCCTATTTAGCCAAAAGGCAGCCAGATTAGGTAGAGATGTGCATAGGAAAGGCAGAAACACAGGTTTCCATTTGAAGATCTCTTCCGACCAAATGTGTGTGGTTAAAGTAGGCCTAATTAAGTCTCTGATAATGAGTAGCTTGAGTCTGGCAGATGCTACTCCTCGAGACCAGGAATTGATAAGACTGGGCGGAATTCATGTTGACAACAATTATCCACGAGGACTGATTGACAATTGTCTTACACGATTGCGAATGGATGAAGAGAAATGCCTGTTTGGGACAATACCAGTCTACCAGAGTGCTCATGCTGTCATTGTGTAATCTTTCAAAAAGAGACGAGCAAAGTACTGAGCTAGTGGGACTTCAGGAATATTTATAAAAATAAAATAACACTTTCCTTGATAATGCCTTCTTTTTGAGAATCTTTTAATCCTCTCTCTAGGTCGGGCTGTAACAAGATTTTGTGTTCATGCTTTAGAGTTGGTTCATGTATTCGAGGTTGTGTGAACACAAAACAGCCTACAAGGGACTGTGAGTCTCAAAATAGGAATTGGCCGAACGTCTGGCTCGCACAATACACAACACACAACACACAAGACATAATACACAAGATATTCAGGTCTAATGCCAAACGCTTAAATGGACATGGAGACTATGCCAACGAATAAGCGGACGATTAAGGAATCTATAAAAATCAACAAAACAACCAACATTCTGAATAGAAGGAATGAGTGTAGTAAGTTGAGCGGAAACTACTTGTAGCTATTGGATAAGGTTGGAGAGAGGGTAGTGGGAAAGAGAAGTAACACTGAACAAGAATAGTCTTGATTAATCTCAATTCTGCTTCTGATTCTCCAAATTCACGTATTTTAATAAGAATGCATCCACTCAACACACGTGCAATGGAACACAATCGCATGCGATTACATTGCAAGCTCAAAGATGAAAGTATCTAACACAGAATGCAACTGATCGGTCACAATTCAATTCGATTCCCGCTTCATGACATGTTTCACAAAGTGGACATAACTGGGGCTATAGGACAAGGATCAATTGGCACATATCTACAGTCACGTCTCCAAGGCAATCCCCACACATCATCTGATGAGTCAAACTTACGAATTCCTTCTACTCCTCTCAAGGCATTCGTCGAAACCAGTATTTCCACATACGCCAGCAGATGCATTGCCTCTTGAAGGCATCGCCAAATCACGTTGCGCAGCACCACCGACTGTCAATGTCCTGCCTGCACATACGTGAGAAGAGCACAGACACACACTAGCCCGCTTCCAAACCTCGCCCAACTCCCAGCACTCATTCAACCAGCACAGAAACCCTCGAAACATCCACACCTCCATCACGAACCCACCAAGAGGGTGCACAAACACACCGACCTCCGTCAGC